CCCCCCCCTCCCCCACCGCCCCAAGCACGCGCCTCGGTATTAACTAGGCGCCCAAAGCAATATTTTAAGTCAAGAGAATTGATTAGGAATTGAATAAGACGCACAGGAGAGTGGAATAATAAAACTGGTGCACCCTGGGCAACGTATATTCATACGGCAAAAGAAGTCTATTGACTGGCAGTTGACTTCTCACTTCAAACTACCATCACCTCACTCTATGCCATATTCGACTATTTTCACAGTACTCACCTCACCTTTGTTCTACCTTGGTCTTTGAAGCACTCTTCTGTTCACCCCCCTCCCCTCTCGACTTTTTTCACTTTGATGTTCCTTCCCCTCTGTGAAGCCTGAAGTCAACTAAAGGGCTAATGATTACTTTCCCAACGCCTGCCATTTGATATAAATAAATAAATATGTATACCGTGGAGTTCTTTGTGCAGAAAATATAAGATAGTCCTTAATTTGCCCACAATAGGATGAATACGGGAAGGTGACCGCAAGCATAATTGAATAAGTGTTAGCACGATAAATAATTATAGGGAAATTTCGTGTATTGATATAAAAATTGACGCATACGATTTGCGGCACAACATGCATACACAAATGTTTGATGAACGAATGTACAATGACACAATCACTATAAAATAGGCTTGAATTTCATTAAGTGCAATCGTTAAGTAACTAATATTCGAAATTATCTCATTTAATTAATACAATAAATATAATTAAGCAAGATAATCAAGCAGTAGAATAATTACGGAAATTACAAACTTATTAAATATTTGATTAACTTAAGGGACCAATAAAAAGAGCACAAGAAATTGTCATGCAGATTCCGTTCAAATTGGGTTTGCGGATCATGCAAAATAAGTAACTTAGTTGTAGAAGGCGGATTTAGTGGGTACTGTGGCAAAACAAGTAAGAAAGTACGGAAACACAACTACTAGGTCGATGGGGAAAGTATGGGCAAGTGAGAGGGCTTAATCGAACTTACCATAAGCCGATCGGTATTAATATCAGGAGGCTGATGAATGCGTTCTAGTGCATTGACGAAGATCGAGGAAGAGATGACCATCAAGGCAAGGGAATTTATGAATCCTGATAAAATTTCCGCCCGATGAAAACTGCAAAAATGGCAATATGAGTGGTGTTAAATACTGATTTGTCAAGGCATTCTAAAGAAGCATGCACAAATATTCTAACGGAGCGAAAAAAAAATTTGCTAGGTAATGGTGCATTCACTCAATTGTGCTGAAATATCGAGGCAATGCTACTGGCAGGAATCCCGCCAAACTAGTAAAGGTACGTGATCTTGCTTTAAGAGGAGGGGGGTCCAATATGCGTGTGACAATTAAGCACTCAGTGTGGTATTGAAACGGTTAAAAGGAAGTTGTCACGTACCCAAAGGAGTAGATGCGAGTAGGTTTCCACCGACCGACCACAGAAGCGTAGAGACCCATTACAAGAGCAGCACAATCGAAGAGCATATGGAAACCATCAGAGATGAGTCCGAGGCTGTTCGTCCACACACCGTAGAATAGTTCAATGAAGGTGAAAGACTGCAAAGAAGAGGAGAATAAGAAGAAGAAGAAGGGGTGATAATAAAAAATATTGGGAGAAATTTCATTGAGTAAGTTGTTTAAAAAGTTATGCCAAATGTTGGAACACAAAGAGAACTCATTGCTCGAATATTGCACAGAGAGAAATGAAGTGAGACTCCCAAAACATCTACACTTTACAATCGACATTAGCTTTCGATTCCCTCTCTTAGGCATTCATCCGCAAGTTCCTTAATCGCTGAATTGTAAATTGTCAGGGGTTTTGGATCTTATACGGCAGTTCGCAGTGACCTCAACGTGAAATTCTGTAATTATCTAGAGGGAGTATCCACGGTTCAACTACCCTAAAGACGCAACAGTGCCATTAACTCAACAGTAGCAGATATCAGACACGCCTCCTCCCCCCCCCCTCCCCACCCCACCCCCAAGTGACATCAAAGTTCCAATAGCAAATTACTCAATTAGGTGAGTCAAGTAGCTTCGAACATACAGCAATAAGACATGAATTAGTAAGCTAACACTCGCGACCTTAAATTTCAGGCACTATTTTTTCTTGAACTTTCTGTTTGAGCCGATGACACAGTGGTCGACTTGTTTATCTGCAAAGTAATGTACCTTAAGATCAGTTCCCATAGGTGCACCCGCAGATGTACGAATAATCAACAGTTTGGTTAATTCTTGTTAAGGTTGTCAGGACGTAGGTGAGTAGGACGTTAGAGTGGATCAAAAATACCTTTTTCTTACCCATTAGTAGTGAGGTGAATAAGAGTGAGAAGTTGAAACTTTCTGATGACATTAAATACCACGTAAAATCCAGAAGTTACTTTAAGGCCTGACTGGTGAGTAAGCTGACGCTTATAATATGAATAACAAATCTAGCGAGGTTAGCCATCTACACTACTGGCAATAAGCCTGATCAAGTTATTTACTGCAGTTTACATTTTGCGTAGTTAGACACTAGAGGTGGAATGTAGAACTCACCAAATTGAGGCAGAGAAAGACGAATATGCGGAAAGAGGCCTTATCGGCAGTGACTTGTTTAAGAGTGGCCACAGCGTGATAGGCGAAGCTCAGACCCTCACCATCGCCACTTCCAGTACTAGAAGGAGCTGCCTGTGGAGTGTAGAGAGGCAGACCGGCAGGAGAGAAGCCCACAAATCTACGTCCACCACCTGTGATATCTGCGCAGGATCGAGTTAACAAGCTTGATGCTGCCAAGAGAGAAAAAAAGGATAAGCACTATCAATTGTGAATAAAATCTCATTAACTGGCAGAGATTTCATGTAGAAAACTTTTGGAATAAATAAAACGTGGATCACAAACTACTCGGAGGAGGAGTAGTACATGGAGAGGAAGAATTCAACCACATAAAAGTAGGCATAGGCATAGTCATTATGGAACATAATTAGAACTTTGCAAATATGTATGCCTCGAGGCAACTTTAAGGCAAATGAAAAGAAAAGAGAGCATACAACCACCTCTCTTCCAACTGACAGTATTTGTGGTTGGTCGTTCTGAAAACTGAAAAGTTACCTAATAACCAAGCACAATGGGCAAATATGCACACTATGATAGGGAATGAACAACCAATAAGTCAAATATTCACAAAAAGATTCCCCTCCTCTCTGAAAGCAGGCAATAAGCTGAAGAACAATCCTAGGAGATTCGGAATAATTAAAAAAATTGCCGAGACTATCATGCCTTCCACAACAGAACCTACAAGGGATAGATGGATGAGGGTTGGTGAATGCAGCTTAATATTTGAGATAACTTAGCAAGTATTCAGGTGTAAATAGGCATGGAATACGAATAAAAGTTGGAACAGGCATGTTTTCTTTTTCCTAATATGCAAATGCCTCAAGTGTTTTAGGCAGGTCCCGCGGGTCCAAACGGTGCACACACCGGTGCATGTAATAATAACAAACGAGGAAAAAGGGTGTTAAAAGCTATCGGTACAAATTAATGCGCTTTCGGGTAGAGAAGATTGATATCGCAGTACCGAGGGTAATTCGACGCTTGTTGGCAAAACGGAGATAAAGATAAAATTAGCAAAATCAAAATCTCTCCACTTTGAAGGCTGTGTGCACGGTGTAATCTGTCAGTTGGGTTTAATAAATCCGAGTGAAAAAAACCCAAAATCGCTGCGTTAAAAGGAATCTAGCAATGAACAATGAAAACTTACAATAGAGGAAAGCCACTAGAGCTAGAATAACTCCGGTAGAAAGGTAATGAGCTGGCTGAGAAAGCGATGAATCAGGGAAAATTGGATCCAACTGGCTGTCTGATTTAAGCACCGACGCCGACACAGTACCAACAGAGCCGTTAATGCAGGCACTAGGGGGGGGGGGGGGATTAAGATTAGTTTATCTAATAACAACATACCTTATAAGAAAAGCTGTAATAGCAAGACAGGGGTATGAGGCCCTCTGAACAGAGTTTGGCCCAGCTTTTCGAACCATGAATTCAGTGAAGTAGAAGTCAGCTACAAAGACTAGTACAACAAGAAGGGTTGCAAAAAAACCATAGGAGTAGCTGAATTCGGTCAACGGGATATCCAACTGAAAAAAATACCGGTTATATTGGTGAGTAAGATGAACAAACCTTTGAAGGTTGCCTGTGAAAGAAGATTGTACCGAAGAAAGCAGCAAAAGTGCTGACCAAAAGAATAAGAAAAACCGAGGCGCATGTGGAGAGGGCATGAAGCCTTTTAGCACCACCAATCGATGCAGCTAGCGTCCGAGCAGCGGAAGTGAAACCAGCTTCTGCACAAGCCGATATCAATAAGAGAATAGCTCCGAACTAATTTATTAGAAGGAGGCAGATGGGAATTAAATGTAAAATGAAAGCCTACTTTGTGATCTGACAATCCAAGATGTATAAATAGCTCGTAAATCCTGTGAATTAGAAGACTTTTATGCACTCCCTCCGCTAAAATTGAGATTAATTAAATCAAATGAACTTACGATGTTCAGTCACAGCATCCTGAACATCATGATCGAAAAATACAATCGATAGAACACCAAAGATGAAAAAAAGTGTCCCTCGTGACTATCAAGTTGAATAAATATATTTTTTTTAAAAAAAACAAACCTTTCCTGAGGAGATTGACTTTATGAAAACTGATGTCAGAATAGCAATCATTGCTATATCACCATGTCTGTAGAGCAGAATAAACCGAAAAGGTCCACAAATGATTAGACCAGTTATCCAGACGATATCCAGTATAACTCGTATTAATGAGTGTCGCAAAATCCGAAACAGCTAAATGAAAATAATGATCAGAAATAGAAACAACTAGAAGCCGTGTGAGAGGTCCCTGGCTATGTAATGGTTTCTGCAATACAAATAAAAACGCCGCATACCTAAAAATAAACAAATTTAGTGCAAACTTACAAAAGTTTGAAGATAAAAAGAAAAGTGAGAGTGTGGAATCCCTTGAGAATATCGTATATAGTAAAGAAGCAGAAAGCCTTTGCGAGTTTTATTAAGCAAAATAAAATCCAATACAGCCGAATACTAGAAAAAATAAAGATAAGACGTGAAAATAAATCACTGATTGAGATTATCGATGTCATCTCGTGCATCTAGATGCATTCTATACAAAACCGCAGTCTAATAAGTCGTGGCACCTATGTTGCAAACAGCCGATTGGTGAATACTAGGTCAGAAAAGGTATTCGAGTTAAGCGTGTCCAGTTTAATCGGCGCTAAACGAAAAAGTCAGGAGTGCAAGGTAATAAACTTATTCCTCTTCCAAACCTTCATATATTAAAATTATTTTCGAGAGCGTCAGAAGTACAGCCCCAAATTTTTGCTATGTTTCTTTTATTCTATATTTTCAGTAGTAAAACATCGACTTTCTCACATCATACTGTAATCGGCGTAAAGTTGCAAAAACGCAATAATATCTGTTGAAAAATTTAGCATCAATATATTTAGAGGCGTTAAGCTCTTATTTAACCGATATTCATTCTGTTATATTCTGGCAGAAGTAAGAGATTTATTAAAGCCGTGAAGCTTTTAGGAATATAGGAAAGCAAATAGATATATTTTCAGTTGAATCACACTCTCGATCATCCTTTAAGTTAAATGTTTGGTGGAATTAACATCAACACCTGAATATACTTACCCAATATAAGACGAAATTCTCGTTCAAGAAGGAAGGGAATGTATCTTCATTATTATTGTTTACAAATAAACTCGGATGGCAAATATGTTCCCATCTGTACTATAGTTGAACACCGCTTCACTCTTCTAATTTTGAATAGTTATTATATTTTTAACCATTTGTATAAAGTAACAATATTTTATCCCATGAGCAACCTTTGAAATGCAATGATTTTTTAACTCGATGGTTGTAGACATCCTTTTGTTGCACATATGCTCATACAACAATTTTATCACCACCCAACTATATAATTATTTCTGATAAAGCTTACTGAAATAATACTTAAATGAATGGAATCTGCTTAGCATACTGTAATAGGCTCTATCAAAAGTCAGTAGAGATGGCCTACGATAACACTTGTCCTTCAAATGTTTTCAAGAACTAACCTAAATGTAATATTATTAAATAGCAAAGCTCAACTTGAACGCTAAATTCGGTACTTAGCTATTTACACGCTGTGATGTACAAATTAATTTTTTTGTTCACTACTACGGATCTTATAGACCGCTTTTGCATATTCTTCGACAAATCAATTAGTTTTAATTACCGACTTGAGGATCCTACTACTGTTGTCAGCTCAAATAAAATGAATCCGCTAAATTACGGAAGATTATAATGAATTTCGTATTCTTGAAGTCAATCCAATGAAGCAGCTCCTAAATTGTACTGATTAAATTAATATATAGATTCACTAAATCGATAGTCATTATAAGTTAATTATCGAAGGTGAATTCTTTACTTTCTGGGTGAGGATAATATTTGTCATCATCATTTGAAAGTTCGATTACTATTTGCACGGCATGAAAGACAGGGAAGACATTAGAGAAGCAGAAAGAAAATTGCAATAATGGCTAGGGAGGAATTTCTTGAAACTGACCATTTTCAATTAAATCAAGAAGGATAAGTAGTAGATTGAGAGATTTTAATGTCATATAAAGATGGTAAATATTTATGTAATTGAGATCGCTTAGTGTAGAAAAACTAATAAACATTTTAGCAGAAAATTTAAAATTTTGTATGTCTTATATTTTCGAAATTCTAATGAGGGGATCTCATCGTTTGACTTAAATATTTTCAATTCATTTCCAGATTTTCCTTTCCTTTTCCATCGATTAACCGCTAAATCTGTAGTGATATACTTTACATAAGCTATCGGAAATGCAATTGAAACGAAACATTGTTTACTATTGACAAATCAGTTAATATTAAGAATTTCAAAAGGAAAATAAAGTATGCATTATAAAATCTTTTCACTACACATATTTTGACGCTTTTAATATAGCGTCGGGACAAATTAATAATATATAATTTATTATTTTAGATGAGTGCGTTTTAAGATGCTTGTAACGTCTATTTTATTAGTGAGGTTAAATTTGTTGTTTGTAAAAAGGCTGATTGTTAAATTTGTTTTAATACGTAATTGGACCCAGTTTTTTAACTGGGCGATTTATCTGTGGAGTGATGTCGGATGCGGAGCAGGTTTTGCGTATTTATCGCAATAGTTTAGATGGCTTAAAGGAAAATGATAAAAACAAAATAAACAAATTGACCTTGCTTGCAAAGGACCATGTACAAATTCCTGGATTTCCGCAAAAAGTCGTCGAGGCCACTGTCCGTCATGTATATGAGGTTTGCTTTCTGTCAAAATTTGCTTCATTTTGTTGTTTCTTGTCCATAAGTAAAGTAATAATTTCTTTTTCAGATTGCTGCGGTTTACAAACTTCTGGGCTTATACGTTATTGATTCAATTGTCAAAAATGTTGATGTTCCATACAGAAAATTATTTACCGACCCTATTGTCCCACTTTTTGTTCATTCATTCCAAATGGTAATGTCGTTTAGTTATATTGTGAATAAGAATCTTTGGGTGTTAAGTAATTCTTAGCTTTTGTAATCTAGATTCGTGAAGAAGTTACTAGGAAACGTCTTTTTAATCTGCGAACAACATGGAAGGACATCTTTCCATACTCTAAAATGCATAGTTTAGATTTGGCTGTTCAAGAACTGGACCCGGCTTGGCCTCTTATTCCAAAGGATGATGCCCCTTCGGAGCATCGCTTACCTTCAGTCCCAAAATTACCTTCTGCAAAAGTTAATAATAAACAAATTCCTACCAGCTCTACTAGTCAACCACTTAATCCTGTTATATCTGAGTCTCGTGATCCTAGGCTTTGTAAGAAACGAAAATCTCCTGAAGGTGTTAGTACGGTTACAGGGGGTCAGTTCCTTATAGATCGTGATGGTAATCAAAAAATGGAGCTTATAGCTCGCAAGCTTGGTCGTTTCGAAGAGGAGGTGGAAAGACAGGAGTCTAAGAAGGCAAAAGCACTTTTCAGTGTTAAAGATCAGGATATGCGCTCCGTCTCTCCGAGCGGTACTGTATCGGCTACTGTTGCTCCTCGGGTGTCTGATGCTGATACGTCTAAGAGACTTGATGTTGATATGCGATTGGGAGGTCTACCTAAGCCTCCTACAACCAATTCATCTGTGTCCCCTAGGCCTCAGGGATTTGACGCTCACTCAAGTCCTTCGAATTCTAACGGCATTGATGTTACTAATTGTTTACCTCCTTCTCCGTCCTTTGATAAAACTCCTCGAAACGTCGCGCCGCCTTCACTCCCTTTTAATCAGTCTTCTTTGCATTCTCCAATGCCGGGACCTCCCACTATGCCCCCTCATTTTCGGATGCTGGGCCCACAAATGCCACCCTATCGAATGAGTCCAGACCATATGGTACCTCCAGAAATGCCACCCCAGATGCTACACCACCCCAATATGTCTCCCAGTGGCTTCAATCATGCACCTCACCGGGGTCCCCAGATCAGTGGACCCGATTGGAGTGTTGAAATTGATGGCCTTAATCACATGATTCAGATCGGAATTGATCCACGAATGCTCTTCCGCGCCTCGAACCCCAAACCTGAACGTCAAATTACCATAGATGGTTTTCGGTATCGTCTCCTATTGGATCGTATCCAACCCTTAATACAATTTCGTGAAAATTTTTATGCCGTCAGATTTCGGTGTGAAAGCATGGCATTTATTATTGATCATCAAAGAATCGTAGTTCCTGGAACGGGGTTTACAAGAGTACGTCTTTTAGGGCGCGATAGGTTGGTTTATCTCGGTGGGCCTGGTCATGAATTGGTAATAGATGGACGGCCACACACTATCCCTTTTAACACAAAGTACTCCACTATTAATATTGATCAGCAGACTGTTCCTGTTATGTACGACTGTGAATTTCCTAATGGTCTAAACGTGCTTCCTCCTATTCCTCGACAAATTCTTGATTGGGCGTATCGAGGTCTATTTGGTTCACCTAACAACCTCCACTTGGCCCCTAAAAATCCCCTGTTTGAGCTAGAGAAACAAATGGAAAATCGTCCTACTGATGTCATGGGTCCTGCTAATCGCCAGTACCAACAACATCCACAAAGGATGTCTAACCAGTTAAAGACTGAAGGCATAAAACCTGAAATTAAAACTGAACCGGTGCCTCCTCCTACCTCTACCACGCATGGTGTACCTCCTTCATCTCTTCCAGTTAGTGTAGATGATTTGCTGAGCAAACTTGTTGCTTCTGGAGTGTTCAAGAAACCAGAGGTTCTACCAGACATTAAGGATTACTCTTGGGAAAAATTCCGCCGTGTCTATATGGCGGAGATTGATGCTCTCTATTCTGGTTTCCAGTGTCTTCAGTGTGGTTTACGATTTGCGAGTGAAGATGATCCAACCTTTGTCGCTCATCTAGATTACCATTATATGAAAAACTCAACGGAAAATCAAGGTAGGCGGAGCCGAAACTACTACCAACCCGCTAGTAACTGGCTCAGTTATGGACTTATGGAGGATACTAGCGATCCTGATACAAATGAAGTGAAAGAATATAAATGTCCAGCCTTCGCAGATGAAAAATTAAACGTATGCTCTATCTTCATTTTAAACTCGGTTATCTGATTGGATCAGTTAATTCTCTCTGTTCTCCTAGGAATGCGCTGTTTGTGGAGACAAGTTCGATAAGATTTTCGATCGACAGGAAGGGGAGTGGATGCTCTTGGGCGCAATAATCGAAGACGGCAAGGCCTACCATCCTATCTGCCGAGAAGATGCTGGAAAACAGTTTCCGGTAAGTTACAGTTTTAGTCTCTTTACTGCTATTCGCAATCGAACTTGTTCTTATTGTCGGATTGCCGTAGGTTGCCGTGGACACATTCACATGCCAGGAAGTGGGAATGGAAGAAAATCAAAGCTCTTTAAATGTAGAAGACGAAAAGGCAATTCCTGGATCTGTGAGTCCTGCACACCAGTTATCTGTATCAATAAAATCCGAGCCCGATATAATAGAAACAAAAAATGGAATTGAAACATTGAATTTTTCATCCCCTTCTGACAATCTTGATGTTATTAAACCGCAAAATCCCCACCTCCTCTCTGAGGTTGGCCTCGGGGTTTGTGAGAAGTCGGGTGAAGTTATTAAGGAGGAACCTGCCAAAATATCGCCTGAAACACTTCCACCACCGTCGAGTTCACTTCCCTTTGGAGGAGAAACTGAAGTAGTATCAAATTTGAGTATTGCTAGAAATTCTCCCCTTGTTTCTATACCCGGCTTATCGCCGACTAATAGTACTGAGGGGGGTGAAGAGAATGCGGGGCTTGAATCTAATGTGTTAGAAGACGGTGGTATTGGTGGTGGTGGGCAAAGCGCTGGCAGTAGTGACGCCTTGGTGACACCCGACACAATCTCCTCAAATCCCTTGGCAGCCTTAGAGGCAGTTTTAGGCCGCAAGATTGTGTTGCCTTAGGAATTTGAGCTCCTATAAAGTGGAAAGATAGTTCTGTACATACTAATGCAGCATTCATACTATTCATACCCCTACTACTATTATTTCTCAACGAACTGCTACCACTATTGCAACTATTGATTGTATGTTGAAAAAGTGCTAGAATCTTTAGACTGGACCGGCTTCAATGTGTACGGTTTATCTGAGTGTTTATCATTGTGGAATAAAGTGGTAATATTTGTTTCTATTTCTTGTCCTTTTATTTACTTTT